TGCATTCACCAGATAGCTCATCGAATGTTACCCATGTATTTACATCCGAATCACCAACGTGTACACAAAAGGCAACACTCTGAATATTGGAGGTTTCTGCCTTCTCGGTTTGACCACACTCTTATGTTTATAGCGTTTTCTAATAACAGAGGTTCAGGTACTACTTTCCACATTATAACTACCACCTTTATACTGCTGAGTAAAACTAGTTTGACACGAACAAGAATCGCTGAGCACAAAGACGACAGAATCTCCAGGATATATATTGTTTTTGCTAACACCACAAGTACTTCATTCTAGCGCTCCCATAAACTTATGAATGGCGCAGAAGGACCAAAAATATGGCGATGTCAATCACTGCATAAAGATTAAGAACGAGGCAAAGCATTCATGTACAGAATACATTAACCAATGTGCCCATGAGAACTTACAAGAGAAGCTCAAGCTAATGCAATTCCTATTCTACCTACAACTACATGCAGATATAGAAGCCACCTTTAGCTTGGACGAGATACACACAGAACCATAAATCCATCTAAAGAAAGGAGCTCCAGATCCTGATGATGTAAGAATTTTCCCTTTTAAGAAGGTTACAGAAGCCAACCAGGTGAGGTTAGTGACAGAGTATCAATGTAGTTAAATTCGATGACGAGAAACCCACTTTGAGACAAATAATGCTTGGAGACGGCTTGAATGGGTAATGAAGAAAACTTTAATATAAGTTTAACATAACAGCAAATGTACAACGTTTCGACAAGGTTTGGTCATTATTAGGTAATGTACCTGAGAACGTAATAAAATTAAAATTGGATTGTAATTTTAAAAATATTTCATTTAATTTGTTGTGATTTATGGATGTTAATCTAAGAAATAGTGAATATACCGATATAAAATGTAAAACAAATAGAAACTATAAATGATGTTATATACACATTAGAACATATTGAAGGTGATATTTTGAATTTGTTGCATATTAATATTAATAATATTCACAATAAGTGGGGATATTTTTGTACACTTGCTGGTGAAGTTTTGGTATTGTCAGATATGTTAATATTCACAGAGACAATTTAAAAAAACCTGAAATCCAAAATTATAATTTGGAAGGTTATGAAAAACATTTATTAATATAGAAGTAATAAATATCAACAGAATTAGTGAAATTAAGTTTGGAAGATGCAGAAATATTATCATTTAATGTTGAGGTAAATTATTATAAAGTTTATTACTTCCAATTTACAGAACTCCAAATTATAATTCTAATCTTTATATTTTAAATTTGCTAAATGAATTAAAAAACTGCAAACATATAGTATATTTTGGTGATATAAATATCAATATTAAAGAAAAAATCATGAAAATAGTAATCTGAAAACTTGTTACACTTAATGGATTTCAGCAAAAATCTTGTTTAGATCATTTGTATACAAAACTTACAGATGTAATTGTAAATAGTTATGTGAACAAGAAAAAATATTAGATCATAGGATGATTTTGTTTAATTTAAAAAGCAGTTTAAAGACAATAAAACAAACTATAAAAAAGAGCATAGATAATGTTTTACTGATTAACAAAATTAAAATAAATAGAGTTATAAATGGCATAAGCAGTTATAATTGGCAAGAGTTCTTAAGATTAAAAGATCCTGAGATAATGTATAAAAAATTGGCTTGTGTGTTAAATGAAACTGAAGAAAAATACTTTTGATATTACTATAAAAAAAAAGAATACATAACATAAATGTTGGATAAATTCTGATATTTTCGAGTTAATAAGAGAAAAAGATAAATTATGACATAAGTGTAAATGTCAGAAGAATGAAACAAATGAAGAAGCTTACAAAGCAAAGATAAATTATATAGTGTGTTTAATAAGAAAGGCTAAAAAGAATTATTACATGACAAAATTTTCTGGCATTCAGGGTAAAATGAAAGAAACGTGGAGATGCATTAATGAATTAGTAAATAACATGTAAGTGATCAATGACCTGAATAAAAAATAAAACGAAATTTTATTAGTACAAATATCAATACTACAGATTTAGCAAATAATTTTAAAAGAGAGTTTATAAATAAAATAAATACTCTAAAAGTAATCATAATAATAAATATAATAACAATTATGCTACAAATAGAAAAAATTATCTTGAGAGTGTAATTTCACAGATTTATTCAATTTATTTCCCTCAAATAACAGAAGAAGAATTTATTAACATAGTAAATTTAATGACATTAACAAAGGACCAGGAATTGATGATATGCAATTAAGATACATAAAACCATATATTAGCAAAGGTTATAACATGCCTATTAAATTTAATCTATGAAGAAAGAAAAATACCTGATGGACTGAAAATATTAATGATAAAACCTATTTACAAGACAGGTAAAAAAAATGATTTTAATAATTGTAGACCAATTTACATTTTACTTGTGATTGAAAAAATAATGGAGAGGTATGTATACAGCAAAATGTTGGATTTTATTGAAAAAAAATAACAGTATAAACAAATGTCCATATGTGTTGTTTTTTAAATAAAAGTATCACATTACTATTAGAAAACTTTTCTCTCAAATGATGTAAATTTACAATTATATAAAAATAAAAAGTATTTGTATTATTTATTGATTTTAATAGATCTTTTGGTACATTAAATCATAAAATACTGCTGGATAAACTATACATGATGGGTATTAGGGAAATGTTATATAACTGGTTCATGAATTATTTGAGTAATAGGGTTGCAACAACAAGAATTTTTGAAATAATGAGTGATCCAATGACTATGAAATATGGTGTTCCACAAGGTTCTATTTTAGGTCCACTACTGTTTAATTTATATGTTAATGATATTGTAAATAAAGGTTTAAAGAGTAAAATATATCAATATGCAGATGATACAGCTTTAACTGTAACTCATGTTGATGTGGAAGTTGGCAAAGAAATGTTATAATTTGATTTCAATAAATTAAGGTATTGGCTTAATATAAATGATATATATATATATGAATACTGATAAACAAAAAATATGATAATTCACTCACAATATACAAGTATTATTAACAAATTCTTTTTTACAAATTCATGATCAAAGATGTAATAATAAATATAAACATATATTTGTAGATAATAAGCAGTATTCTAATTGTAAATGTATGTATATAGAAAATGTTAATACTAAGACATACGTAAGGTTAATTATAGATGATGTTTTTAGTTGGTCTAAACATATTAATATGATGTGCAATAAATTAAAACTTATTACAGCAAAATTATGGATAATACAAAATATTTTACCAATTAATATATAAAAAAATGTATGTATCTTTAACAGAATCTGTTATATGTTTTGGATTGACAATATATGGTTCAACAAGTAACATTCACTTATAAAACAAATATTATCACAAAAGAATGTTTAAGATGTTAATCTCAAATAAAAAATGACAAACTTAATACAAATGTTGCATTAACAGATGAAATTATACAAAATCAGTTATTTAATGTAAATGCACTTTATAGATAAACAATAATTTTGAATTCCTATTATAGTTTAAATCATAAAGTACTAAAAATAATATGTATAATATAAAAAAATTAATAATAAGTATTATGAAATTCCAAATTACAATAATAACTATGGAATAAGAGTAAAAGAGTATAAAATAACATGCATAATGAAACCAACTCCCCGGTGATTTATGGAATGTAAATATAATTGCAATGAATATAGCCTACCATGACAACCCAACCATTTGCTCACCTTTGCTGAAAACATTCTGATGCATAGCAGAGTCTCTAAAAAAACTGAAACTGAAAGCAAGATGCAAACATCCCTTAGCAGAGTGAGCAAATGGCTATCAATCCTACTAAATACATAACCACGTTCTGCATTCTCGACAACAGACATTCATCAATATCCTCTATGGGTACTGCTATCCCTCTGGAAGAAACACTTACGTACCTGGGGGTAACCTTTTATAGATAACTGGTGCTAGAAGTCGTAAAGCAAGCTCTCCTCTGGATTGCTGAAAGCAATAAATTTGATTTGTCTCCAGATAGATAGCAGAAAGCAATGAAACTGCATGGTAAGACTATCATCTGAATACATGTGCCAGGCCATGCAGATGTAAAACTAAAAGACGTCTCTAACAACCTCGCAAGAGAAGCTCCTTTATCAATTCCTGCACAACTCTACTGGCAGGAAATTGACCTCCTCTGCACTAGTAAGGGGAAAGCAGCAAACCTCGAAGATCTTTCTTAACATTCAGAGCGAAACAGACTGCTGGAAGACAATATACCATATTGTGTAGCTAGAAAAAAAAGATGAGGGAAGCAATAGAACATCAGAAGGTCACCGATAACATCAGTAAAAGAACTGTCGTCTACCTCCTGCGTGGCAGCCGATATATTGATGCAACCTCTGAGATGTCAACCAATGTTCAAATCTAGTCTGTACTATGTTAAATGCAGGGATCGTAACCAAATATTTAACGCTGAGCCACCAGGTGAACCAAACATAAAAGGAAGATTCTGAGTAAAAAAGACGAAAGTGAAGTCAAAAGTTTTACTTGAAATATACTTGAGATTATAAAGATTTTTGAGTTTTCTAGAAATTCCGATGAAGAAATTTAAACAAAGAATAAATAGTCTAACGAGTGATGCTAAAATTACGTATTAGATAGTTGTGATGTATTGTTAGTATGAAATATCTATTTGGGATGTTAAAATCTACAGATCGTCTTATAAAGGTTACATAAAAAATGCTTTGCAAAATAAGTGAAAAATGGAGCTAAACTAATAGTCATTATAAAGCAGATTCTTGTGTTGTATTATGGCTCTTTCCATGGTTTATTAAATATTTGGCGAGAAATCATTTTAGTATTATCTACATCAAATCTTTAAAAGCCTCAATGAAGTGAATGTTCAGATGTTTGAAATTTAAGATTTCAATAATGTTTGTGCAAATATATCAAGAATAATAAAAACACAAAGCGCTGTTAATTTCTACAAAAGCTAAGATTTATTCAGTAGTCTAATGTACAAAAATAGAGTCAGAAAATATCCAAAACCAGTTAGTTGAAGTTTAAAACAACTTGTGGTAAAACCTTCTAAAAACCTTTCGGCTTGTGTTAACAATGTACAACCTAGCTTAAACAAATGCAATGATGATCAAGTTAATTGTGAAAATTTCTATTTATAATTACTAAAAACTATGTAAAAACTATAATATACATCATAGAAGATATCAAAATCATAAGGCACTACAGTTAGATATTAGCAAATGTCATCATTAGCAATAACAAATAGTGAATCCAAAGGACATAGAGATAAAAAAGAACAAAATAAGTCAAGCAAAACATGGGAAAAGAAGTACTGGCTAATAGCTTGTCATATTATTAAAATGTGGCAAATTTTACTTTTAATTTTTAGAAAATATTTACATGTATGTATTAGTCCAAGATAAATTAGATTATACAGCAAAAGAAAGAGAATGAAAATACTCAGTGTAGTTTTTAAGTCTTTTCTGTCTCTGCGGCCACAGAACTGACAAGGCAAAATAGTTTTACGTCAGGGAAGACGTTTAGTTAAAAATAACAACATTAAGTTATATAACATCAAAGTATCAATATTATTGTATTAGGATTCATATTTTTAAGTTAATTGCATATTTTCATTTATTTCAAATAATTAAGGAAAATAAACTCCAATTACACAAACTATAAAAGTCCATTCGTTTTATCATGCATTCAAGCGTCGTCACAATAACCTATACAGACTCATTTACAAAATATTTTGGTAACATGAATGCTACCTTAAAAACAACAAAGAATTATTATTTCGAATATGAATTTCAAGTTACAAACAATACTTCAACAAATTTGTAACCACATTGTATGCTTGACGCCACAGCCACCAGCACTTTTTGTTATTATAAGGCTAGTTAAAAGTTACAATGATAAATAAAACGCGTTTTCGTGTCTTCAAGATTAACTTACAAACGATCACATAAAATCATCTAGGTAAAAAATTAACTTAATAACGCAAGTTATATAGCCACAGCGTAAATGTTGCTGTGTTGTCTAGTAAAGATATTCTGACATAAGATACAAAGAAGAACATTGACTCAACTAATATTAAATTAAATAAATTAACCAGGTTGTATCTGGTATCGTCGCAAATATACATATGAAGCAAACATATATGGATCCTTTGTGAAATTAAACTTTTTTATTACGATTATTTCATTATGTTCAGAGAATATATGTTTCATTGTTATTAAGTGACATATATATATAAAGATATATTCTACTGTTATCACAAACTATGTGCTTCACTATGCTCAAGGAATATGGGTTCCATTGTCATCAAGTAAGAGTTACGTCACCATATGAGACCTTGTATTAGTTATGCCAGTATTTTGTTAAGTTCATACATATGTATATAACAAAATAATAATTGAACTTATTTTTAAATTATTTAATAAAATTTTTCGGACCGTACTCAGGGCCGGATTAACACATGAGGCCATGTCCTAGGGCCCCGCGCTTTCACGACTATATATTAAACGATTAAATTGAATTAAACTTTTTGAACCATTGAAAGTAACAGTTGAACTATTCTTAACATCATGATGAAATGTATGATGTACATTCAGTAGGGGATCAAATGAAGTTCACAATTTGATCATATTTTCATCGTCATATTAGGGCGTGCACATCATGAATTTCATCATATAGCACTGTGCCTATAGTGATGAATATAAGTTAGATGTGTGAAAGATTCTGCTTATATCTTAAAAATAATAAACGCTCAAAAACAACTATCGAATATTATTAAATATATAACTCTCGATAAATATCTAAACGACGTGAAATCTCGGTTTCTTATCGATTATATTATCGCAAATAGCTTGCATTATCATTTATCGATAGCCAATAGGATAATAGGATAAACATCCCTGATTTTAGACAATATATTCTTGGGGCCCCTCGCCGAACGTTCTCTTTTTGTGCTTAGGAGTCCCGCGGTAGGTTAATTTAATCCGGCATTCGTACTAAAACGTCTTCGTCTGGTATACATTATTCACACACTTATATTATAACACACAAGTTACAAATTTCATTAACTTACTTAATTCTGTTTGTGTTAATAAAGAAGTTTAATAAACTTACTATGAACTTTTTTTTTGCACACTTATTTCTCTTTGTTATTGATTACATCCCTAAAAGATTTAAAAAATGTACAAAGTGTGTATGGTCTGTGTATTTAGTGATCAGGATATAACGGTCATATATTATGTTAGTTACTCTTGGGAAATAAAATTTTGATGAAGTTTTTCCATCGATTTCTTTGTTCTATATTCAAAATAATGAATACAATGATTTTCAGAGTTATAAAAACAACCCACAAAAATGATCTAAGTAACTAAAGTTCCTCGTTAGAGACTCCAGGTTGAAAGATGGATTATTATGTTTAGCGTTCGGGGATCAAACAGTGTTACCTTAACAACACTGGAAGGAATAAATGATTAAGTTCTGCCTTGTAATATAGTCTTTCTGTTAACATTAAACTAAGACTAAAGACAATGACGCTTAAGTAATTAATGCAAAGTCCAATAAAAAAAGAAAAAACAACTTAAACATAAGGAAAATAATGTACTAGAGCAATTCAACAATGATGGTCAAATGATAAAACATTATCACAAATTTGAATCGTCATATCACTAGGTCTTAAAATTACTGATTTATGATCATTATTGTTATGTATGGTATCTATTTTAGTACCTTATTAATTCATGAATATATTTATTAAACGACCTCGTGAAAAAGGTGATTAATCCACGTATTTAATAACCAGTTATTGTCATTTTCCTTATTAAATGTTCAATATATTTTTATTCTCTTAAAAGTAAACATAGGCATACAAATATTTTAAATTACTTAAAGAGATTTCTGTCTTAAATTGTTACACCCAGATATAGAAAACAAGTAATACTTTTATATTAGTTTGGCATATTGTTATATTTCAAAATATAAAACGCTGCTTTTAGAGAATTAATAGTGTTGGCTTTTGCTTATGTAAATTATGAACTTTATATTAATATTGGTATTAAAAATTCAAGGGAGGTGTTAACGTTGTCCTTTTGAAACGGTATTGATGAGTCGCTAAAGAATCCGAAGCGCACTAAGAGATAAAAAATAACTCAAAACCACTGTTTATCAAACGTTACAGCTCTACTTCACAAATGTCATACCACTTCGAAGAAATAGGCCATGGTCCAACTATTTCGTTTTTCCGTTTCCTGTCGAGTGGATTAAAAGCCTTGTTTTCCCAGAATAACTTGCCTTTGAAGAAGTACATGGCTCTATTAAAGTAAGAGTAATAAATGGCGTCCAGATTGGACGGAAGCTTTGATTTCGGCGACGCTGATGGGAATTCCAGTTTAATCTCACGAGGATAACCAGGTAGACAACAACCTTCATTTCCTCGCTCTGTGTCATAAGCATATACCTGGAACATATTAAGATCGTAATTACTTGTCGTCAGATCTTCAGCCAATAACAACACGAACTTAGCTGTTTGCTAAAACCTAAAGAGGTAGACGACACTTTAACATTTGTGTAGGGAAATAGATATTAACAAATACATTAAAACCTATTTCAAGATATAAACAGTAAGATGAAATGTGTCAGATTAAGTCAGATAATGAAAACGAATATCAAGGAACGTGTTTAGAGTGCTGGACTGATGATGAAAGGTTTGTGACGCGATGCTACTGAATATGCGTTGTGCTCTAGAAGTGTCGGTCAATCCTGTTATTCAATTCAATAAGCCAGACAAAGCCCTTATTGCAGTGAGTGCTGTTGGATGGTTGATCTCTCTCTCTCTCTCTGGTCAATAGTTCAAAATTAGGGACGACATCTAAACCCTAGGGGTCTCTAATTTGGCCATTTAACCCAAGTGTGCAAAAAACTGGTGTTCAGATTCAAATTCCTCAGTGAAATTGTTTATTACAAAAGTAAATGGCCTTATGGTTGGCGTGCCAGACTATGCATGAATATCCATAGTTCGAGTTCTGTTACAGCAATAACGCGTTCTGTGCTTTGGAGCCGTGGATGTTTTATAAGAGTGACAGTCAAATTCCACTATATGATTAAAGTATTCCAAGAATCTCACGCGGATGGTTTTGACTAGCTGCTTTCCTCTAGTCTACCAATTCAAAATTAGGATCGGCTAGCGCATATAACACGTGTAGCTTTTCGCGAATTTCCGAAACAAACAAATTATTTTCTCTCTTACTTCCCTTTTTCTCCACTCCATAATTGTCTCTCTGAAACTTCAAAATATATTACAAGCGAATTAAAGATTGTATATTAAAAACAGCTGCTTTTTATATAAGTTTATGATAAAACTTAGGACTAATATATTGTTTTGAAGTTATTTTAAAGATCCATAATGAAAGACCACAAGAAAAGTGTTAATTCATTCCTTTTGAAAAGTTATTTTGTTTAAGTTACAAACATATGATTACAAAAAGCCACATCCCGACTACGACCATGGAAAATTACCGTCATGTTTAATGCCTGCTTGACATATCAGAGGTAAAAATTAGCATGAAGAACTGTTATTGAATACATAGTTATTCCTCAAGCCTTTGGCCTGGCACGGTCAGGTAGTTAGGTCACTTGACTCGCAATCTGAGAGTTGCGGGTTCGAAGCCCTTTACCATCAAACATGCTCGCCCTTTCAGCCATGGGGGCGTTATAGTGTGACGGTCAATCCCACTATTCGTTGGTAAAAGAGTAGCCCAAGAGTTGGCGGTGGGTGGTGATGACTAGTTGCCTTCCCTCTAATCTTTCACTGCTAAATTAGAGACGGCTAGCACAGATAGCCCTCATGTAGCTTTGCGTGAAATTCCAAAAAAAACAACAAAAAACTTCAAGCCTTTTCTCCCCGCCAGCCCCGTCGTCATAAAAAGCGTATTAATTATTTTTATTTAATATGTATACATATGGTCTCTTTCGAAATTTCAGCACTGTTTATGGTTGCAATTAATTCATGATTATGTTTTAACTAGAATATGCAAAAATGCCATATTTCACAAAAGTGGAGGCTGTGTTTAATTGCTGACCTTTTATGATGCGTTATTTTCACATTTTGAATTATACTTTGATTAACACATTTTTTTCTTAAATGTTTTCTCAAAACGCTTGATTAGTAATATTAGTAGAAATTGTTAGGCAACACGACAGACGTGCTCCTCAATTGACACAAGAAGTAATGACTGACTTTTAATTGATATGTTTATGTTTTTGTTCTAAGCGTCATGCTAGTTGATATCTATACAATAATACACTTGTTCGTGTGTTTGTTACGGAAATGACGTGTGCGGGCATGCGTATTTAGATAGTAAGATCGCGCGTATTATCATGACAGTAAAAAAATTTAGTATTATTGTAATAGACTAGCGGAGACCCGCAAAACATTTTCGATCAGATTAGTGCCTTTATTGCAACAGTATTTCTTTAAATACAGGATTTCTAGAATAATACAAAAAATTATAATCGCAGATACCGAAATCTTTTCATACTACAATTCTGCTGTTACGCCTTATAAGCATGCGCAGTAAACATTTTTCCAAGAAAAATAGTGCAAGCGCCTGCCTGGAAAGCTCAACGAAAAAGTCACTGATTGAAGGAATAACAAAAAAGGTGGATGTAAATATTCTTTATTAACCATTTAGTTATTTAGTAATTTAGCTTAAAAGATCTGGCGTTAGGTCCAAGAATAACATTATAAGTATATTTATAGATAGTATTAAGTACAATATAGTTTTAATTTCGAATTCGATGACGAGGGACCCACTTAGAGACAAATAATGCTTGGAGACGGCTTGAATGGGAAATGAAGAAAACTTTAATATAAGTTTAACAAAACATCAAATGTACAACATTTCGATAAGGTTTTGTCATCATCAGGTACTAGTAGTTTACACTGACACACACACACACACACACACACATATATATACATATATATATATACAGTATGGAACAAAGAGGTCACATGACCGGATACTGTTGCAAGACTTAGAAGAGATATCTTGGCACCCCAGGGTGTTAGTTTAGAGTAGGGTTGTTTTGTCCAATTAAGATGGATTCCTTGATTTTTCGTTTGTTTATGTTTGATTCTTTGTTTAAAATGACTGTGTTTTTAATAGATATACTATTGTTTTTTTGAGTTGCAATGGTGGAAAACATGAGAACGGTTTTTTATTGTGTTTTGTGAATCTGGTTTCCAATTTTCTTCCTGTTTCTCCGATGCATGTTATTTTGTAAATGACGTTAGTATTGTGTGATTCTAAATAATTTTTGTTTAGTAACGGATTTAATTTAGGGCCGGGTTTTTGAGAGAATTTGACGTTGACAGGAATATTGTGTTTAATGGCTAGTTTTGTCCAAGTGTGGATAATTCTTGAGCTGGTTTCAGGGACAAAAGGTAAACTTTAGTGTAACGTACTGTTGTTGAGTTTGTTAGTATCAATTTTGTTCGTAATTTGAGTTTTGTTGTGGGGAATGTTGTAGAGTTTTTCAACAATAGCTGATGGAAATTTATTGGTGTGAATGAAGGAATGCTTTATGTGGTTAAGTTCTTCATTTATGTAGTCCGTTGAACAGAGTCTTGTGGCTGTGTTTATGAGGTTTTTGAGTGTATTGTTTTTTTTGTGTGGTGTCAAAAGCGGAATTCCAGGGTATCTAGAGGCCGGTGTGTGTGCTCTTACTGTGTGTGATCGGACTAGCCATTAAACACAATATTCTTGTCAACGTCAAATTCTCTGAAAAACCCGGCCCTAAATTAAAATCGTTACTAAACAAAATTATTTAGAATCCCACAATACAAACGTCATTTAGAAAATAACATGCAATAACTGCCAAGAATTCTACATCGGAGAAGTAGGAAGAAAATTGGAAACTAGATTCACAGAACGCAATAAAAAAACCGTCCCTTGTTTTCCACCATTGCAACTCAGAAACAATGGTATATCTATTCAAAACACAGTAATTTTAAACAAAGAACCAAACATAAACCAACGAAAAATGTACTAATTTGACAGCAAACGTTTTTAGGTCATCTTTGCTAGTTTTAACATAATGGAATAAAAGTAACTTAAGTATGCGGCAATAATGACAAAATTGTATTCCTTTTAAATACCATATCATGATTACTTGTATAACCGTCTTAATTCAAAAAAATCAATTGAACCTTATCCATCTGATAAATATATTTTTTTTTACAAAAAATGTCAGCCAAATAGCTTATTTACTTAACTTTCATGCAAAAATATATGAAAATGGAAAGAAAGATAAATAACCGTCCACTGTTTTAAAAGTTCAGACTTACATACTTTCCCTTGAAAAAATATAAGTTTGAATCTCTTTGATCAAAGAAGACAGCATCAATGTTACTAGGAATGCTGGGAAACCTCGATCCAGGGATCCCCCTGAAATCTTTGGAAATTTCTCTCGGGTACCCAGGAGCTACTTTGTCTTCAGCACTGTTATAAAGATAATAATGCCGTCCTAAAGGAAAAAAACGTTGTGTTACAATTGATTAATTACAAAAACGAAAAGAAAATACACCCCTTCCAGTTTCCACACTATAATAACATCACAGATGACAAAAACGAGACAATTGGGCAGTTAAACTTGATTACGATAACTTATGATGAGCCAGAGTACGGGAATAACACAACTAATATCTAACAATAATTTCATTCAAAATTAGTTACACATGTAAGTCCAACACATTATGACCTAAATAGAATTAATTAAAAGTGAATTTCACAGGTTAAATGTTCTATTGTTATAATACAGAATTATTAATGACTGAAAGGTAATAGCGTTTTTTTTTATAGTTAAGCACAAAGCTACATAATAGGCTATTTGTGCTGTGCTTACCACGGATATCGAAACCCGATTTTTAACGTTGCAAATCCTCAGACGAACCCTGAGTCACTGAGAGACATGTAATAGAGGAAATTAAACTTCGCACGCATAAGTGAAAAAACTGGTCAAATGAAACATTTTTTTTAAACTTTGTAACTTCATTAACGGGACAAAGAAGAAACATAATGTGTACTTCACAGTTAAATAAATTAATAAATGTCCACTGAATGACAATGATTAGCCACTTTATTAGGATTCCACATAATATGGGGTTTAATCAACTCCCACTGCGGAAATGTAGTATAATGTGGTTGATTTGATCGGCAACAGCTCTCGGATACACTTGGAGGAAACATGATAAATCAGCCTGTATCACTGCTTCCATTCATTCATTGTTCACACTTCTCGGTCTAAGCATCAAGGAAATAAGGACCAGGCTTTCTTAAGTGTTCATTTTTCAACAGGAAAATGTTGAAAAAAAAATCTTCTCCTATAAGTATGACTTATACAGTTCTTGAAAATATAATTAATGAAAAAAACCTTGTGCCAAAAATCTAGCCCTCTGGTTACATTCTGTCATATTTTCCACCTTGATAAAAATGACTACTGTTTTTCACATGTGGTCTCCTTTACCACATTATATTGTACCTAGAATAAAAATTAAAAAGCAAACAAATTTTAAGAAGGTTTTCCTTTCTGCTGCCTTTTTTTCTGTGAAATCATTTTAGCTGCCGACTTTGTTTACCACCCATTCTTAAAATAGAAATATGAAACCCATCACCGAAATGCACACCACATCTGCATATTAGCAAAGACAGGTGTAGAAATTAATGTGGTCACCTTTACATTTCTATAGTAAATCCAGCTATGGCAGGCTAATGAGAATAGTTATTTTTGTATTGGACTACTTCCACAGATCATAAACGTAAGCTTTTATTATAATGTGGCATCATATTAAGAAGTACAAAGCATACACAAGAAGTTGAATTAAAATGGTTATTTCCTTTACCCATTCTGTGAACTCCTTTACATGCATCTCACTATGTTCCCAATTATCTGTTTTTATAAATAGTATCACTCACAGGTTTAGCTTTGTAACTTATCAGTCATTTAAATCTAAAACTACCACCACTCACACCATTTGAATGTTAGTTATACAGTTAAAGAGATACACACCTGTTATGTAATCCCACTTTCAAGGACTTTTCTTGAAGGAAAAATGAGTTGATTTGTGATTAATACATTTCAAATCCATCCTACCCTAATCATCTGCACATGGTGGAAACTAAATATGGCGGGAAAAGCATTATGCACTCTATATATTCCCCTCTGAAGCAAAACTGTAGTAAAGGAGTTCTCATAATTTCATGTTCGGTGATTTTTATTGAAGAATCCAATTTACTCTTATCCTTTCAGTTACTGATAACAACATATGTCTTGGCTGTTGTGTATAACGATATAAAAAAATAACATAAGCTGAGTATCTATACTAGATATATGCGTAAAAGAGATCACGTGCTTAAAAAACAAATTTTATTACAAGCTCCAAATAGACATACTCAAATTATCTCTTGATACCCTGCGCTTGAGCTTTGATCAAACCAAATTATATACTTCCCGGATTGATTTTGGACTATAATCTTTATATTTACTCAAAAAGTTTAATTATTGTCTTCAAAATAAATAACCATAAAAGAGAACACATGATTACGACGACATGTTATTTTGGATATTTTTATATGTGAAAAAGTAATGAGAAAATCAACTAATAACAAATTTTCAAAACATAAATATTAATAAAGGCTTGAGTTATACTTACATTTTTGTGTTTGTGTTATTTCTTTCAAATTAAATTTTTCTGCTGCCGATATGCTACTTTTAACACCCACCATTGTTTATTTCCTTGGTTTGCTGAAAACAAACTCAACATATTACATGTGTTTGGAAAGCTCTGTCCATCGTCTTGCATTTAGATATCATTATATGTTTGTGTAAGGTACGTATTCAGAAAAAATTGCCCCAGAGCACTGGCGACACCAAATTGGACACTTAAGAAAGCCTGGCCCGTAATGCTTTTATATTGAGGACTGATTGTCAGCTGTCATATGACCATTTTTCTTATTTCCTTTGCTGTTGAAAACAGTTGAATATTGAACAATATTAAATTAAACGATCAGAAATGGCACTCTCCGACGTCTGTAGCATTTACCGTATTTTTCCAATCGTACTTTGCCTCAATCTGTCACCAGCGGCTGGTGACACAATTTTCCCCAATATCAGACATGTTCACGCCCCTTTGATTAGCACTGTTGGCTACAGATGTCTCTGAACAAATGGTCAAACAAACAATCTTTGGCTATCGCCTGATACATTACCTGATTAATCTATTTTATGAGTATAGAGTGTTCTACAAATATGTGAGTGTTTTTGGAGTTGTATAATGATCACTCAGTGTATAAAAAGCGAAAAACTGAATTTCTTGGACTTCTTTGAAAATCTACTCTCATGATATTTGAAAAATATGCAAGATAAAAAAGTAATTGAAGTAATATGAAAGGTTTGTTTTGAATTATCGCAAAGCTACACGAGGGCTATCTGCGCTAGCCGTCCCTAATTTAGCAGGGAAGGCAGCTAGTCATCACCATCCACCGCCAACTCTTAGGCTACTCTTTTATCAACAAATAGTGGGATTGACCGTCACATTATAATGCCCCCACGGTTGAAAGGGCGAGCATGTTTGGTGTGACGGGGATTCGAACCCGCGCCCCTCAGATTGTGAGTCGAGCGCCCTAACCACCTGGCCATGCCGGGCCTAATACGAAAGGATTTGGATAACCTTAGCACTTTTGAAAGATAAAACCCCTTCCTAAAGGACCTTTCGAAAGCTTTATTTCATTTATCATTTTACAATACTGACCTTTAAAGAAATATGTATTGTCCTGTGTGTATGTCCAAACATGGACAAAAGCATCAACATTGTTCGGAATACCCTTCCATTCTGGTATGATGTTCAGAGGATCACCATATCGCGTGCGGTTGAAACGATTTTCGTACATCCAATATTGATTGGATCGGAAGAAGTAAGTATTGTAGATGATATTACCGTCAGGACGTCGACGTACCCAGTCAAAAACCGTATCGAAACGACCCTCACAGATCCCTAAACGTTACAGAAAGAAATAGTTCATTACGAACTGTAGAAGAGTATAAAATGAGACTAAGGAAGGATTTTGTTATAGTCAAATTCAATTGAAAACGTTTTTATTTTAAATGTAGCTAATGAAAATTTGTATAAATAATTTAAGTAATTGTGAATAATGCACAAATAAACAAATGAAACATATAATATAAAGTTTTTGGAAAACAAAAACCTTATCTCTTTTGTTATTAATAAAAAATGCATTCCTGAGATAGAGCATTTTTGTTTTACTTAAAGTATATATTATCTTGAAATACAGCATTCTGTGAAACTCATTTTATTTACACACGAATTAGATTGATTGTACATCAAAACAAATATCTAACAATGCCTGAAAAACATCGAAAAAATATGGTCACTTCTAACTAAAAATTTGCCTGAACAGTTTGTCACTGAAATAACCGCAATGCGGATGAATAAACTTCTATCATAGAAAATCAGAATCAAAACTGGTAGATGACGTACGTTCTCAAATATAAACTATTCCTCTCACCATACATTTTCTGGACCATTTTACGGTCTTCCCATCCGAGTTCGAAGTTATTGTTAGGGATGAATCGTGAGTAGATGGCATACATGATGGAGTAATTTCTTGATATGTGGAACATCCCCAGGGAATGGCCCACTTCGTGGACTACTACTTTAATGAGGTTGATTCCGTGCTCTGAACCCAGAGTTAGATACTCGTCGTCATCCACATGGATTTCTGTATTACCGGTTAATTTCACTGCATGGGCTAGTTGACCTCCGAATCCGTCAAAATGGTTAGGGCAGTTCAAATGCTCTCCTTTAAATATAAAATTTTTATATTGTCAATATGGTTCAATATATTTTCCAAATCTAAACTGATATTTTTTATTAAATCACCACCAAATGGCAATAAAAAAAGCAACTTTTGCATGCATTAGATTCATTTTGATATACTATTGCTGAATGGTTTCTTACAGAACAAAATGTTAAAAAATAACTTGTGGAACTTATATCTCAAATGGTCTAAACTAATAAAACTATATACTAAACGAGCGGGAATAAACTAAGTCAGTAAAAGTGAAAATCACAGTGGCTTAAAATAAGTTACACTTTTATATTTTAATGATAATTATAACTTTATGGCATTGTGCGGCCCCTTTAAAATATATTATGCAGTTAATAGTGTAGAGTCGTAATCTATTTTCTAATGGAAATTGTAAGTTATTTTTTAACTTATGTTTTTATGCAACTGAACATAAGCTACCAACACTTATAACTCAAGCTTCCCCCTAAACTCCAGAGTAATTTTTTTTCCTTTCTTCCCCAGACCATTAATAAAATTAACATAATGGTGTCGTTACTTTCTTCACGATTAGAGAAAAAAAAAAGATAAAAAAGGATGGTCATCGCAGAAATAACACGCATACTTGGTTTAACATTATGACCTATAGTAATATGAATCAGTATACCCGGCCCTTCTTCTCACCCTCCGTGAGGTTAAGGGGCGAACGTTCTTTCACTGATGTAATTTGCAATTTGGGACTTTGTCTCAATTAGTCCAAACTGTCACCGCATAGTTAACTGAGCAACAACTATGCTTCCGACCTACTTCAAAGCAGGCTAGATTGTCAGTAATCGCAAAATAAAAGAGCGGGTTCATCTTTCTGTTCCACAGAACGAGAGTTAGCACTTCATTACACCACACATTTGATCTATTTCCTGGTCTTTAAAACTTGTACGTTACCCGAGAAATGATGGGAAGACAGATCTTGAAACACACAGAACATTAAACCTCACAATTTCTATCTGTAAGAAAATAAAAATAATTAGAGTATATTGCCTTAAAAGTAAATGATGTAACAATACTGGCGAATCAATTGTTGCAAAGAAATGACGCAAGTGAAAGAGAAACAGAAGGGAAAGGTGGAAATAAATATAAAACAGATATGTGAAGGGTAATAGAGGGAAGATGTTAAAGTAAATGTACAAAACAGAACATTTATTGTTTAAACCAAGTGGAGAAATAGTTCCTAGGATATAAATAAGGCGTTGTTCTTCGTGTTTACATAAATACCGGTTTGTTGGTGTAGATCTTAGAATGACAAGTTACAAAGGTCACATACGATGCAGTATATAACTTGTACATTGGTGAGACTGATCGCAAAATCAGTGGCAGATTTCGAAAACACAGACAACACATGTTAAATCGCAATCTTGATTTACCAGTCTCAAGAGTCGTACTCGTTCTAAGATTTACACCAACAAACCGGTATTTAGGCGAACGCGAAGAACAACGCCTTATTTATATCCTAGGAACTATTTCTCCACTTGGTTTAAATGGAAAGATTTCTTTTTTTTGACATCTTCCAACTTTTCTTTCTATACCCCCTCATATATCTGTTTTATATTTCTTTACACCTTTTCCTCCTGCTTCTCTTTCACTTACATCATTTCTTTACAACATTTGATTCACCAGTATGGTTACACCACTCTTCGAACCATGTTTCGCACGTTCTCTCATTGTTACATTTTCTATGGATATTCAAATGTGCTCTGTACATACGACTTTGAAAAAACGTCACCTGAAGAAGGGTTTAGTCCCAAAATGTTGTGTCGACTTAGAGCTTTCCTGGATATTATTACCATCGTATGTAGTGTTTTGTTCCCTCTTAAACATATGCTGTGAACTCTTACGGATAACACAGTATGATAGACATATGCTGTAAACTGTCATGGATTTATAAGTTTTTCTCTGTCTAAAGATTCAATATTTCTGTCGATGAACCTTGGTAAACATTGGATTTCTAAAATACAATTTGATTGTTCTAATGTGTGTTTTAGACACAAATATATAAAAAAAAATGTCCATGACTAAACAGTGGAAGCATTACACAGTCTAGTTAGAGAAACTAACATTACACAGTCGAGTTTTCAGAAGTACCTGTCAAAATTAATATGTAGCCTACAATGTGAAGTTTTGTAGACATGATAGCAATGAATAGAAACTAATCATTTTTGACACAATAATTAAATTTAGAAATGGAACACATTTCATACAGCATGCCACAGTCTGGATTTATCAAATAAGTCATAATCAAAAGATTAAATACATTACGATAGTAGTGCCAGCAGCAATACAATGAACAATTGGTAATGGTTGTTAGACAACCAAGTTGATAGGACTTTACTAATGATTCTATGTACCTTGTAGAATCATTTTCGGTTTGACGAGTATTACTGGTGAATTTCTTTTAACATGTACATGAGGACATGACCCTTGAATGTTGGAAGATGAAATAGACACTGAGAATGGTTATAATTTAGAACTTAGCAGGATTAAGAGTATTACACAGTTAAGATATTACATTGCAAACTTATAAATATATGTTTAGTCTTTAATATTCATATGGAACCCACCTGTAAAACACACAGCTGTAAATGGAAAACATTTAAGCTAACCGGTTAATATGGTGCACTGTTAATACTGTTGTAGTATTTGTTCACAGGGAGTTTTTTTACAAAATGCTCCATATTTTTCATAATAATATAAATTTCAGGGGGAAGAAAAATAATTTTACTGGTGACAAATGTGTGCTAGATTTTCTCAAATTTTCAAACATTTAACCACAGAAAGAAGATTACCACAAGACATTGGAGCGCTAAAAATGATCAGCTTACAAGCGAATCATAAATTTCTTATAGAACATCAATAACATAGCAAATACACTTATGAAAGAAAGAAATAAGACAGAGACCTTGACATTCTTAAAGAACATCAATAACATAGCAACTACACTTATGAAAGAAAGAAAAAGACAGAGACCTTGACATTCTTAAAGAACATCAATAACATAGCAAATACACTTATGAAAGAAAGAAATAAGACAGAGACCTTGACATTCTTAAAGAACATCAATAACATAGCAACTACACTTATGAAAGAAAGAAAAAAAAAAAGACAGAGACCTTGACATTCTTAAAGAACATTAATAACATAGCAATTACACTTATGAAAGAAGAAAAAAAGACAGCTGACCTTGACAAAATTTGATGTCAAAACCAGGTAAACAGTCCACTACACTCTATATTCCACATTTTTCGTGTCACTTGCTTATTACGTCTGATATATACGACCATTTTATATTGCCTGTTGCAAAAGTCATTGAAAGCTAGAAATAGCAATAATACTTTCTGTCGTGTTCCTAATCATGGTCTGGTGGTGTGTCATCAATATTTTAAAAATGTTTTTGCTTATATGACCTAAAAGGTCTTCTGAACTATTGTCATCTTTGTCCTCGTCATCCTCTGTTCGAAAACGTTTCACATTCTAGTTATATTCTTCAGATCCACAAAGTTAATTTCAATAAAACTAAATAGGGATGTCCCTTGAATGATTATCTTTCAGATATTGTTTTCATGATGATCCGACATCCAATATGGCCGCTATGATGACCATTTTGAAATAAAAAAAAAAGAAAATTTTCTTGTTGAACAAGTCACTTTCCATTCATCCAACAATTTATGTATATAAGGTCCTTTCACCATTCATCCAACAATTTATGTATATAAGGTCCTCTCACCATTCATCCAACAATTTATGTATATAAGGTCCTCTCACCATTCATCCAACAATTTATGTATATAAGGTCCTCTCACCATTCATCCAACAATGTATGTATATAGGGTCCTATCACTCAGATTTATATTTTTTGTTCTGGTCAGTCATTGAAGAAATTTCGCAAACAATTATCTTGGAATTATTCTGGAATTGTTTGGGTACTACAATTCTTTAAAAAACGTACTATGCTCATTTTTTTACAAATACTGTTTTGCCAAATTTCAGGTGCAATTTTGAGCATATTTACTAATGAAAATAATCATTTGCAATGTTTTTACTGTCAAGTCTCGAACATGGTGCAAACCTTTCAAAGTTTTCCATATATAGAATTTTGTAGCTGTCTTCTACAAATTTATTGATTTAAAAATGCAATTACATGTGCTTTTGGTAGAAGACAATCTTGGTCAAGGTAGATGGTTAATTGAAATCTGTATTTAAGAAGCATTCAAGTCTTAATGTATTTTTCATCATATCCAGTCCTTAATGAACCTATTAATAATAAAAGAGATCATAACGGAAAAGTAGAAATTCAAAAAAAAATCTATCTTTCCATATCATGAAAACATGCCAGAATAGAAGATTGGCAATATTTGACACATTATATTAAAAAAAAAAAACTACTTGCTGCCATAGATAGGAAGTGAAGGCAGACTGGAAGTGTGCCAAGATCCTAATATTTTCCTGAACATTGAATACCGTTGTAGTTACACGTTCTGTAAATCAATGGGACTACCTTGTAAGAATATTTTTTCAACTCGAATGTTGAGTAAGCAACGACTTTTCTATATTAGAAGGCAAGATGGCCTTATCCACCTGGCCATGCCGGGCCGAAGCCAGAAGAACAGCAACAACCTTTTTTTTCAAATCTCGTTTGTTGCTGTTTATACTTTTTAAACTATCATTGATAGTTGCCAAACAGTCTGCATTCATATGCATCTATAAAGAGTATTGTTGCGTCAGCGAGTCACATGACTAGAGTGATGCCACGTTTCTAGAACTATCCCGTATCTTGGCGAATG